TGTGGTATTGTATCCTCTGAAATCTTAAATATCAAATTTCAACCACTTTGATTGGAAAATGCGAATGCGAACAGCTATTTGCCGATTTAAATGATGTCCACTTGATAAAATTGCATCACAACATGTTTTCTTTATTTCCTTAATTTTTTTCGACAATCGTTATTGTTTTTCTCAAAATGAATTAATTTCCCAATTACAACAAACATTCAGCAACAATCTCATATCAAAAGTTTCTCAATTACACCAATTTCCAGCCATTCAAAGCTAAAATTATCACGATTTCCCTAGTTCTCCATGCTTTATACACACATACAAACTACACAATCACCCCTAACCAACGGTAAAAGTTTTATGTCGATACGTACATTCATTACTGAGTTATGGCCATTTCAAGTTGCCCTTGTGTCAAAATATAGCGGCTACACGATTCTGTTGGCCTGTTACCTCAAATTGGAAAAATGAAGAAATCGCACATGGTCAAAAACATAAAACACTGCAATGTTACCAGATCGCTCCCCTTGGTGTTTTAGTGTTAGTTTATAAATGCTGAGCATACTTTTAGGCGTTACATTAAAATCACGAGCCATACAACTTTCACGTGGATATCATTTTACATGATGCGCCTGAAAGTATGCTCAGAATTTGTAAACCAACCATCAAATCAAAGAAACAAATCGAACAATGTGGCAATGATGCTGCTGTTCTGTACTTTTTCGCTTTTGTGAAAATGCCAATTTCAAGCATTTTTTCAATTTGCGGTACCAGGCCAACAGAATCGTGTAGCCGCTATATTTTGACACAAGCTTAACTTTAAATGGCTATAACTCAGTAATGAATGAACGTATTGACATCAAACTTGTACCATTGTTTAGGGGATATTGTGTAGTGTATCAATCGAAACAAGTTTTTTCATATTTTTTCGCCAAATTGGCTGTAATTTAGTATTTTGAGTTCTTCTCGATATTTTATAAGTGTATATATTAAAGGTACCGATTTCTTTTGTTCGGAGACCTATAGTGAAATTTAATGGAGAATATTTTTCCCTTTCAGAACCCCCTCTTAACTACGTCATTGTGGGAATAATTAGCCATAACTTGAAACACTACAAAGTTGATCCTTAAAAACTGTTCTATTTTTGTTAGCAATTTCTTTTCGATATTTTATAACTGTTAATATTAAAGGTACCGAATTCTTTTGTTCGGAGGGCTATAGTGAAATTCGATGGTGAATATTTTTCCCTTTCACAACCCTCCTCTTAACTACGTCATTGTGGGAATAATTAGCCATAACTTGAAGCAGTACAAAGTTGATCCTTAAAAAATTTTCTATTTCTGTTAGGAATTCCTTTTCGATATTTATAACTGTTTATATTTTATATTTTATAACTGTTAATATTAAAGGTACCGATTTCTTTTGTTCGGAGACCCCTAGTGAAATTTAATGGAGAATATTTTTCCCTTTCACAACTTCCCTTTAAACTATATCCCTGTGGGAGTAATTGACCATAATTTGAAACACTACAAAGTTGATCCTTAAAAAAATGTATATTTTTATTAGCAATTTCTTTTCGATTCTTTTTAAGTTTTTATATTAGAGGAACCGATTTCTTTTGTTCGGAGACAACTTTCCCCTAAAGTGGATTATTAAAGGTGTAACAGGCACCCACACGAAAATTATCGTACTTGTTTCTATAAACCAATTAAATTCGATATGTTATTGTGGTATATATTGAATATAGCAAGTTCTTTTATTCGATAATGAACTATAGCCCGCATTTAGGCCTAGCCCCTGTGTAAAGATTCCAGAAGAAGTGGATCGATAGTCCTCATCTTCGAACTTGAACTAAGTTTTTAAGAAATAATAAGCTGGGCATAGTTTGGATGAAACCTAAATTTTTTTTGAAACGGATTCGGACATGGAGTCTAGAACCAATATTTCGACGAGATACATTTTCACTGTGTGTTAAAGTGTATACACCCTCATTAGCCATAAGGCTGAGGGTATAATTATCCATTAAAAATTTCTAAAATTTGTATTATGGTTTACATAATCGGTTTGTAGAAATGTCGGTATAGATCCACTTTTTGGTATGTTCCCGATATATTTTCATTTCTAGTAACTGTATAATATATCTATGGAGGAGGGTATCCAAAGTTCGGCCCGGCCGAACTTAACGTTTTTTCACTTGTTTTTTTATAGTCGTATCTACATTTTCCCACCGAAATGACATTAATTTGGCATTTCGGGCCATTGAAGGTTAGAAACCTCTTTCACCCCATTTTATGTATCTTGGCAGAATATTTTTAAAAATATAGATGACAAAGATGACCAATTATAGAAATATATGACAGATAGAGGACGTATAGACGTATGGCCACCTTACCTAACGTCCCCTATTGTAATAGAAACTAACACCAATACGAAACATTACTAAATTAAGACCAAATAAATGTCTGTTTCATATATATACATATTTCTTTCGATATTTTATTAGTGTATATGTTACTTATACCGATTTCTTTTGTTCGGGGACCCATAGTGGAATTCGATGCCGAACATTTTTTTCTTTAACAACTTTTCTCTATAGTGGAGTAGTGTAGGAGAAACTGGTGTCATTACGAAACATTAATAAATTAATACTAAATAAGTTTCTAGTGTATATAAACAAAATTCTTTCGATATGTAATTATATATACCGATTTATTGTGTTCGGGGACCCATAATCAAATTTGATATTGAACATTTTTTTACTGTGGCAACTTTCCTCCATAGGGGAGTATTGCAGGTGAAACAGACACTAATGTGAAAAACTACAAAAGTAATAACAAACAAATTTCTTGTTTTGATATTTTATTACTATATATATATATATATATATATACCGATTTGGTATATCCGGAGACCCATAGTGAAATTCGATGGAGAACATTTTTTCCTTTGACATTAGTCCTCTAGAAAAGACAGTTTTATGAGAAACTGGCATTAATTCACAAAACTATTGAATTTATGCCAAACAAATATGGGTTGTATGTAAACACATATGTTTCGATATTTTATTATGATATACGTTGAATATCCCGATTATCTTTCTTGAGTTTTCCATAGTGAAATTCGATGCCGAACATTTTTTACTTTAACAATTTTTCTCTATAGTGAAGTATTGTAGGTGAAAATGATACAGGATTTAAAACCCCACAAATTAAAGATCAAACAATTTATAGGGTAGATAATAAAAATTGTTTCAATTTTTTACCGCCATATACATTATATATACCGACAAATTTTGTTCGTAGACCCTTACTGGAATTTTCCTAAAAATATTTTTTCCATTAACAACTTCTCTGTAGAGTGTATAATTATGGGAGAAATTGACTCGAACACAAAACACCAAATAATACATCTGAAACAAATTCCAATATGTGTCGCTATATATAGAACTAAATTTTTAAGGATGTTTAAATACTATATGTGTTATATATACCGATATCTTTTGGTCGGATACCTATCGTGAAATTTGATGAGGAATATTTTTTCCATTGGTAGTATCCCTCTCAAATGAAGTTTTGTGGGAGATATTGGCCAATTTTAAAAACATATGGGTCTCATAGAAAAATAATTAATATTTATGTATATATTCAAATTGGATCGGATGTAACTGATACATTATATATACCGACAAATTTTGTTCGTAGACCCTTACTGGAATTTTCCTAAAAATATTTTTTCCATTAGCACCTTCTCTCTAGAGTGTATAATTATGGGAGAAATTGACTCGAACACAAAACACCAAATAATACATCTGAAACAAATTCCAATATGTGTCGCTATATATAGAACTAAATTTGTAACCTTGATATAATTACTATATATGTTATATATACCGATATCTTTTGTTCAGATACCTATTGTGAAATTTGATGAGGAATATTTTTTCCATTGGCAATATCTCTCTCAAATAAAGTTTTATGGGAAATACTGACCAATTTTGAAAACATATGGGTCTCATACAAAAAAAAAAAAAGAATATTTATGTATATATTCAAATTGGATCGGATATTCTAATTGATACATTATGATTTTCAAGATGGATTGTTCTATACATATATTCTCCAAGTCCATATCAAAATTTATGGCAAAGTAGGTGCATTAAAATTCTTATTGGTTTTTTAAATAAAATGACAATTATTTCAAACCCCCTTTTTTAGTGGGGTTATAATAAATTCTTGAAATAGCTTATTAAAAATCCTTACATAGGCTTAAAATGTTTTTAAAATATTTTAAATTTTTTGAACCCAATCCAACTCCAATATTTTATATTTGTTTGTCTTTTTTGTTGTTTTTTCTTCTTATTTTTCATTTAAATACCTGGGAATATTTGCATATCATTCTTGGTTTTTAAAATTCAATTTTTGTTTCATGTATAGTGTTGTTGTTGTTTATTTTATTTAATTCTTATTATTTGTTTTTGTTTTTATTTATTTTTATAATTATTATGTATATATGTATATAAATAGATTGTTTCATTATACCGATGAAGATTTTTATTTTTCAGCAAAAACTTCCGCATTACTTTTATAATTTCACATTTCTTTTCTTAAGTGTGGAAAAATTGAAGTTTCCACAAGTCTTGCAATAGAAATGGAATTATTTCATTTTTTTCAAAAATAAATTTTAATAATACAATTTTGTTTATGTAAATTATACAATACATAGTAAATGAGTAAAATGGAGAGGGAAGAGAGAGATATAGTGTTTAAATATTCATTATTAAAAATCGATTTTTGTCTTTTGTTCTCCAAAAAAATTAAAAAAAATAAAAATATATCTTAAAATCAAATAAATAATCAAAATTCTAAATATCATAATTCTGCATGCTTTCTGTTTTATCTTCCAGATCTCCTTCATGTTCTTCTCTTGTGTGTGTGTTGATCGCAAAAAAATCATAAAAAATGAAAATATTCCTATGTAATTAAGTCTTTTTGTTTTTATTGTTTTTTTAATTTAAAATTCCCATTGTGTGGCCACATCATTGCCATCATCCAATAGTTTGAATGCTCCATTTTTAGTAGCTCCTAAATATTTGCCATTTTCGGATCTGAAAAATAAACAAAATATTAGTTTTGATAATCACAAAAAAATTCAAATTCTATTCTCCTTACCTAATACAAATTCTAGTTGGTTCACGCAATTCCAAATAGAAACCATCAGCTGGGGCATCAGAGTCCACGGATATGCCCTCGCCATCAATGCGCCAATACTTGCCACCATGGCCCTTGAAATAGACCAGACCCTTTTGGGCCCGTTCCACCAAAATGGTTTCATATGTGGCCTTGTTGCATTCCAATTTGGTGTTACCCGGCTGGCGGTAGCCCACAAAGCCCTGTTCGCATTTAAGTACCAAAATGGGTCTGGAAGAAGAAACAAAAACAATTTTTTGAGAAGTTATGGATTTAAAAAAAATTAAGGACACCAGAAGGCGTGTATTTTTTAAAAAAATATTTTTTTTAAAGACCACCCCTCAGTCGTGGATTTTTTAAAAAATATTTTTTGTAAAAGCCTCACCTCAAGCGTGGATTTAAAAAAAAATATTTGTTTAAAGCCCCACATCTCAAGCGTGGATTTTTAAAAAAAATTTTAAAGCCCCAAATCTTAGGCGTGGAATTTTTATAACATTCATCACACTGTGGCACAGGGTATTATGTCTTTGTACATATGTTTGTAACAGGCAAAGGAAACGAGATAGACCCAAAGTTCCTTTGGAGAATATAGATAGAATAACTTTCTTAGTCGATGTATGCATGTCCGTCTGTTGGTGTTAGATTGTAAACAAAGTACAGGTCGCATTTATAATCAGAATTGGATGAAATTTGGCAGAGCTCATTTATTTAACCCAAGGACGAACCCTATTGAAATTCGGTTCAGATTTAGATATAGCTCCCATATATATTTTCGCCCGATTGGTGCACCAAAGTCCCTATATATCTTTCGATTTAAACTAAATTTGGCATAACGTACTGAATTGAGCCTAGAATGATGTCTACCAAGTTTCGTGAAAATCGGTCCAGATTTAGATATAGCTCCCATATATATTTTCGTCCGATTTTAGGTAAATAGTGCACCAAAGTACCTATATATCTTTCGATTTGCACGAAATTTGGCGCAGCGTACTGAATTACGGCTAGAATTCGGTTCAGATTTAGATATAGCTCCCATATATATTTTCATCCGATTTAAGGTAAATGGTGCCCCAAAGTCCCTATATATCTTTTGATTTGCACGAAATTTGGCATAACGTACTTAGTTGTGTCCAGAGTGATGTCTGCCAAGTTTCGTGAAAATCGGTTTAGATTCAGATACAGCTCCAATATATATTTTCGTCCGATTTAAGGTAAATGGTGCACCAAAGTCCCTATATATCTTTCGATTTGCACGAAATTTGGCATAACATAATGAATTGAGGTTAGAGTGTTGTCTGTAAAGTTTCATGAAAATCGGTTGAGATTTAGATATAGCTCCAATATATATTTTCGTCCGATTTAAGGTAAATGGTTTACCAAAGTCCCTATATATCTTTCGATTTGCACGAAATTTCGCATAACGTACTGAATTGAGCTTAGAATTATGTCTGCCAAGTTTCATGAAAATCGGTCCTGATTTAGATATATCTCCCATATATAGTTTCGTCCGATTTCATGTAAATGGTGCACCAAAGTCCCTTTATATCCATCGATTTGCATGAAATTTTGCATAGCGTTCTAAATTAAGTCTAGAACGATGTGTGTTAAATTTCGTGAAAATCGGTTCAGATTTAGGTATAATTCCCATATAAAGTTTCGTTCGATTTAAGGTAAATGGTGCACCAAAGTCCCTATATATGCTTCGAGTTGCATGAAATTTGGCATAGGGTTCTGAATTAAGCCTAAAACGATGTGTGTTAAATTTCGTGAAAATCGGTTCAGATTTAGATATAGCTCCCACATCTATTTTCGTCCGATTAAAGTTAAATGGTACACCAAAGTACCTATATATACTTCGATTTGCAGGAAATTTGGCGTAGTGTACTGAATTAAACCTAGAACCATGTGTGGCTAATTTCGTGAAAATATAGCCCCCATATATAGTTGCGTCAAATATTAGGTAAATAGTGCACCAAAGTCCCATTATATCCATCGATTTGCATGAAATTTGGCATAGCGTTCTGAATTAAGTCTAGTATGATGCGTGCAAAGTTTCGTGAAAATCGGTTCAGATTTAGATATAGCTCCCATATATATTTTCGCCCGATTTTTTGTAAATGGTGCACCAATGTCCCTATATATTCTACAACCTATTCAATTTATCATAGGTTGTAGAAAGACATGATCATGTTCTTTCGAGGGAACACTGACATGCAATTGTAAGGATACATATCTACAATATACGCAAAGTGGTGAAGGGTATAATATAGTCTGCCCAGTCCAACTTCACTACTTTCCATACTGGTTAAAAAATATTTTTTAAACATTTAAATTATTTTTTTGTCTCACTCACCTATTAATCAAATAGAAATAGAATTTAGTTATATCCTCAATACTCTCCGAAGTGGCAAACAAGTGACCGGAACGTTTTGTGGCCAGGAATTTGCCATTATTAGCACGGAACGATAGGGAACCATCACCATGCCATATCAATTCGAAGAGGGCATCAGCACAGCGACGATTTCCTGTGGCCTGAATACCACCACCAGCCGTTAGACTCCAATAACGATCTTGAGTGGTGCGTAGAGCCCAACGATGGGCCGACCAATCGAATTCCAATTGGAATGTTTCATTTTCACCAATTTCATCCTGATTGGCGGTGACATCGACACCCTGTTTCACCGAGACATAACGTAAATTCATGGCGGCAATAAACGAGGCCTGGGGCAGAGAATCTTCCAACGAGAATAACTCGTCACGTGTCACAGTGGAAGAGCGAGATTTAAGCACAGCCTTAGAACCAATGGGTGAGAGATATTGTCCTTGTCTGGGAAAAAATAACCAAATTAATATAAAATGTTTAAGATTAGGGTGTTGAGGTCTTACCTATCCCTCAAAGCCAAGTGACCACCATGGTACTCAGCGCTGAACAGACAATCTTCATTGCAGGCATTTTGCAATTTTCCATTGGCATTCAAATATCTGAAATAAAAAAAAATAAATAAAAAATGAGTTCCACTATTTTAAAAAGAGATTACTTCTCTCCCCACTCACTTATTATTGCAGGTATGCAAGGCATAACGTCCACCCTCCTCCTGACGGAATTCCAAAGTGAACAGAGTATCCTCGCCCCAGGGAATATTCGAGTCAACATGAATTTCATCTTGCGATTCGGACAGATGGGCGAAACGTTTACGTCCAATCGAACGTAAATTCACCTGAGGCCTAGCGGCCAAATGCACTGTCCAAAATTCAGCATTACCCGGAGTCTTGGCAGTACATTCCAACTTATCGGGGGTACCACCCAAAAAGTAACCACGTGATTCATTTTTCAATGCCCAACGACCGGTGCCATCTTCGGCAATGCTAATTTGAAACCGACTACCGGCATCACGTTCATCCGATTCACAGAGGACATTACCGAACGTATCAACTGAGAGATATTTATTGAGATGAGATCTTAAGTAGATAATACCTGGAAAGAGAGGGAAGAAAATATGAAATTCTTTAGGGAAAGGATCTGAATTTTTTTAAGAATAGATGGAGTGACGCAAAACTAGCGTGGAGATTTAAAAAATATTAAACAAGGTGTCGATTTTTTAAAAATATTTTTAAGGATCTACAACAAACCTGGATTAAAAAAAAATTTTGGCGAGGATTAACAAATATTTTTTAGGACCCACTGCAAGGCGTGGATTAAAAAATATGTTTTTAAAGACCCTCTGAAAGGCGTGGATTTTTAAACAAATATATATATTTTTAAAGGCCCTTTGCAAAAGCAATTAATCGGCTCAATAACAATAAAGCAGCATGGGGCCGACGGGTTACCAGCCGAACTATTCAAGACTGGTGGTCAGATGCTGGTCAGGAGCATCCACCAGCTGATTAGCACAATTTGGCTAGAGGAATGCATGCCCAATGATTGGATCCTCAGCATCCTGTGTCCCGTGCACAAAAAAGGAGACAAAACGATATGTGCCAACTATAGAGAAATAAGTCTCCTTCCCATCGAATATAAAGTGCCATCCAGTGTGCTGTGTGAACGATTGAAGCCAATGGTCAATAACATTAGGACCTAGAAAATCCACCATCGACCAGATGGTGAACATATCAAGGGCCTTCAATATCGAACGAGGATTCAGACAAGTTTGTCGTGTGATCTTTTTAACATCCTGCTGGAAAAGGTCATACGAGAGGCAAAGGTGAACAGAAATGGCACTCTGTACACCAAAAAACACATGTTACTCGCCTACGCCGATGACATCGGTATAATGGGTCGAACATTGCGAGCAGTAACAGCTATCTTTGAACAAATTGAGAAGGAGTCTGCCAAAGTGGGTCTGGCAGTAAACTGCGAGAAGACCAAGCTGATGGTAACAACGCGCAAGACGTCCAGTAGACTCGGTACAACTGTGAAACTTGAGAACTACAGCTTCGAGGTAGTTAAAGATTTTATATATCTTGGTACCGCCATAAATAAAACAAATTGCATCAGTTTTGAAATTCGGAGAAGGATTGTGATGGCCAACCGATGCTACTATGGTCCAAGTAAGCAGTCTAGAAACAAGGTCACCTCCCGTCAGACCAAACTCACACTTTACAAGACGCTGATACTACCCGTGCTGTTATATGGATCTGAAGCATTGGTAATAGAGCAAGCAGATGAGGCAGCTCTTGGGGTGTTTGAAAGAAAAATACTCCGAAAGATCTACGGGCTGATATGCGTCAACGGTGAACATCCGCGTCGAATGAACCATGAGCTTTACAATTTATTCGCGGACATCGTCGTAGTCATTCGTATTGAGCTGCAGCTACTACGATGGCTAGGTCATGTTGAGCGAATGAATGAGAATGCCCAGCTCAAAAGGCACATAAATGAGAGCCTACTGATGGTTCCCGTAGAAGGGAAAGGCCACGAATCAGATGGAAAGACCAAGTAGAAAACAACATCTTGGAACGTTGTCTTTAAATTGGAGGAGTTACGCACAAGATCGACGCGCTTGGAAATATTTTTTAAGCTCGGCTTATGGAACAACTGTTATATAACAAGCCAGCTAAGTAAGTAAGGCCATGAACATTAAACATTAATTATTATTTAAAAAAAAAAAAATTTGTATGGTCCTGACAATTTGTTTTTATGGCTAACTAGGCCTATATTTATACCCTACACAACTATGTTGTCAGGGTATTATAACTTTGTGCAGCCCCAAGACTTTGTTACGCTGCGAAATATTGGTCCTAGACCCACCTAGACCTACCGATCGTCATATCTCGTCTAGCTGAGTCGATCTAGACATGTGTGTCCGTCCATCTGTCCATTATAATTTGTCAACACGATACAGGCCGCAGTTATGGACCAATCTTCACGAAATTTTGCATGTAGGAAGGGTTTTGGCCAATGAAGCCCCTATTGTTTGGGGTAATGACTGGTTAATATTTTGGAGGATGAAAAATGGACCAAATACTTAATTTTGTCGGTTTTTCTGGTCGCTCCAGAGGCCGCAATTATGGCCCAAATATCTCGAATTTTTACATGGAGAAGGGGATTGGACCAAAGAATAAGCATGCCTGTTTTGATAAAGATCGGTCAAATGGACCTGACTTTTGTGTGAAAAATTACAAAAATTGTATTCTATAGCGTATATATTTGCCCCCAAAGGACATAGACCCGAGAAGTTGATAGTATATCCTAGAGGAGTGGTTGACCTTTAAATTGATACCTATTATATGGTCGTATATACTCAGATGTGGGAGTTACACTCACATACATTTTTGCAAGAGTTTATGTACCGAGATATTATTTAATAACCCATTACCACAATGGAGGGCGGAAATATAGCGTTGATCGCTTTGAAATTTTCCATGAGGTTCCAGTTATGGTCAAGGACAACGCCTATAATTTTCGGTGATGATCAGCTAATAATGTTGGGATGAAGTGGACCAAATACTTATTTTTTTTCAAGTCGATCTATAGGCCACAGTTATAAGCCGAACCTCACAACACAACTCACGGTGAAGGGAATATGGACAAGTAATTAGAAGGGCTGTACTGAATATTGGTAATATTCGGAAAATATGTCAGTGTAAGGAAGAGGTGCTTTTGACCTCTAATCGCGCAAGAGGGTGTACATAACCTATGAAAGCAATTCCTATTACTAAAAATAATACCCAGGCTCGGAATCAAAATCCGCAGAAAGTTAAAATTATCTGGTAGTTGTGTAGGGTATCATATGGTCGGCCCCGTCCGACTATACAGCTCCGCTCATTGGTTTTAATTATAATTCTTGATCTTTAAGAAATATTTTTACGGTCCTGTGTGGATTTTTTTTTAAATATGATATTCCATAAAAATGATTTTGAAAATATGTCAGGGTAAGAAAGATGAGCTTTTGGCCGGTAATTGGTCAACAGGGTGCAAATATCGCGAAATTGTCGCCCCCTCTTATTGGTTTAAGTATTTTTTGTATTATTTTCTAAGGGCCTACCTACCCTGGATTATTTAAAAATTATTTGCCATGGTCCTAAAATGTGGGGAATTTTTTCGAAGGGTCTACCTTGGTTATTTAAAATATTTTTGTTGGGGATTTTTTTTAAAATATTTTTTCCAACTCTGTAATTTTTTAAGGATCTACAATTTAATTGATTTTTTTTTAAATATTTTTCTTAACTCCTTGGAATGCCAACTTAATTTTCGACAAAAATTGACCGGTATTTTCTATGCGACAAATATTTCGCACTTTATTTAGTTTTTCTTAGCCGGACAAGTCGCTATTGTGGTTTGTTGTTGTTATTGTTGTTTGTAAACTTGGCTGTTGACCAAGTCACCGGCATCCACCTAGTAACTGGTCAGCAGTTGTTGTTGTTTTTTCTAATTTTACAAACAACAGTCAGTCCGTCAGTCAGCCATCTCTGTGGTTGATGGTTGAATATGAAAAAAAGAAAAATAAACACAAAACTGTACTCTCATCAACTTAATTAACCGCAATAGCAACGTCGCAAAATAGCTTTGGCCATATTTTTTATTAGTTGGCAAAAAGCAACAACAGCAACAACAATAATAAACATAAATGTGAGAATGATATATTTAAAAAAAATCATAATAATAATAATAAAAAAACATATATATGACAATAATTAATTAAGTCTTTTATGATGATTAAATTGTTAAGTGCAGGTAGACAATAGGCAGTTAGGGGAAGAGGCAGGGTGTTAAAGAAAAAAGGTGTAGTTAATTTGTAAAATAAAAAACTATATAATAAAGTAATTTTAAGAGCTATAAACAACCACTTAAAATAAGTGGAGATTGCGGGCGACAGATATAGTGAACTTAAAGAGAGGGGGATCCGAACTTCATGCTAATTTAATAAACACAAAAAAACCAGTAAGGAAAGTAGTAAAGTCGGATATGTATCCTAGCAATTTCATGTCAATGTTCCCTCGAAGGAACATACACTTTTCTGCATCCTATGCTAAATTGAGTTTCAATCGGGCAGATTTAGAATAGTTTGCGTACAGTGGGACAAATTTATGGAATTCGATTTATAGCAAACCTCATTCTAGGTTTGTTTAGTTCGGTAGAAATCGAAAGACACATACGAATTTTGGTGCAACGTTTACATTAAATCGGACGAAAATATGTGTATGTGAGCTATATCAAAATCTGAACCGATTTTCAGGTTCATCATCATTCTAGACGCCATGTCAAATTTCGTGCAAATCGAAAGATATATAGGGACTTTGGTGGACAATTTACATTATATGGGAGCTATATCTAAATCTGAACCGATTTTCAGGAAACTTAACACACAACATTATAGACTTAATTCATTACGCTGTGCCAAATTTCGTGTAAATCGGAAGATATATAGGGACTTTGTTGCACCATTTACATTAAATCGGTGCAAAATATATATGGGAGCTATATCTAAATCTGAACCGATTTTCTCGAAACTTGGCACAAGTCATTCTAGACTCAATTCAGTACGCTATGCCAAATTTCGTGCAAATCGAAAGATATATATAGGGACTTTGGTGCACCATTTACATTAAATCGGAGGAAAATATATATGGGAGCTATATCTAAATCTAAACCGATTTTCTCGAAACTTGGCACAAGTCATTGTAGACTCAATTCAGTACGCCATGCCAAATTTCATGCAAATCGAAAGATATATAAGGACTATGGTGCACCATTTACCTTCGGACAAAACTTTATATGGGAGCTATATCTAAATCTGAACCGATTTTCTCGAAACTTTGCACACATCATTCTGGACCTAATTCAGTAGGCTATGCCAAATTTTGTACAAATCGAAATATATATAGGGACTTTGGTGCCTATATCGGACGAAAACATATATGGGAGCTATATCTAAATCTGAACCGATTTTTCCCAATTTCAATAGGGTTCGTCCTTGGGCCAAATAGACTAGCTGTGCCAAATTTCATCCAAATCGGATCATAAATGCGGCCTGT